TATTGCTTCAACTTGAGGGTTTATCCAATGCGTACCCGAAGGGTAGCGGCTGCGGATTCTCCCGTTAGGGAAAAAAGGCTACTATAAAACCTTATATAAATGAAGAATATAAGAGAATTTAATCGAGGCGCCGATAATGTTTAATGTCAGTATTTTTTTTAAAAATCATGTGTTGGCGTGTTCAACACGTGTTCGTGTTGATTCTTCATAGCAATTTGTACACTAGTTATTCGTGTGTGCAATCGTCATTCTTTAACAAGTTGATCTTGTTGTTATAGTAACTGATTTTACAAATTCTTTCAATCTATTATGCTTGAATTGTACTGAAAAGATATTTTAGTTATTAATACATTTCTCCTTACTTTCCTAACCTATTCACTTCCTTCTACAAGATATGTATTTTGCCTCACATGCTTCTTGTATCATAATTGATATTCATGTTGATGTTCATTTCAGCTATTTAAGATGAAATTTTGTTAATGGATTTCTTGAGTTAGCTCTTACATACTTCATCTAAACACTGTCACAGGTTGCATCACTACTAAGGAGCTTGGGACTGTGATGCGTTCTCTGGGACAGAACCCAACCGAGGCCGAGCTTCAAGATATGATTAATGAGGTTGATGCCGATGGGAATGGGACAATTGACTTCCCAGAGTTCCTCAACTTGATGGCCAGAAAGATGAAGGACACAGACTCCGAGGAGGAGCTCAAAGAAGCTTTCCGGGTTTTTGACAAGGACCAAAATGGTTTCATTTCTGCAGCTGAACTCCGCCATGTCATGACAAATCTTGGTGAGAAGCTTACAGACGAGGAGGTTGATGAGATGATTCGAGAGGCTGATGTGGATGGCGATGGGCAGATTAACTATGAGGAGTTTGTCAAGATCATGATGGCCAAGTGAGAACTTAACTACCCAAATCTAAATCTTTAGATGAATGAAGATAGACAAGAATGGCAGGTCAATTGATGAAATTTCCATTTCTTGTTAGGACGTGTTCTTTTGACATTATTATCTTTGTTTGAATTCTTGCTTGTTTCTATTTTTCGCATTGTTTTCAAGGCTGTTCTTCAGTGCATGCTTGTTTTCTATGTCCCCTGTTTTAATAGTCTAGGTTAGTTTCTTCTTCTATTCTAGTAAAATATGAACCTCGAACAACTGGAGAACTTCAGACTAATTCTATCGATTAATTTTCCATTCCGTTAAGCTTGTCTCATGACATTATATTTTTTTGTCTTTCATGTTTACGCAATGGTTGAATTCTCATGATTAGGATTATCCGTTGCTTCATCTCCTAGCTCATTACTGCATAATATTACCAGAGGGCCATCTTTCCAAAGATAACGTACTAGGTCCTCACTTTTGATGTGTGCATTGGTTCAAAGGATAATCTGCAGTTCACTTGACCCCAATCTCGAGTGGTCTTGATTAAAGTCAACATTGCTTGAATGAGGTCGGCTTGAAAAATTTACAGAAAGTTGTAATCGGAAAAAAAATAGCTTTGTGCCACTCTCCAAGTGGTTCAAGAGTTGGCATTCTGCACGAATTTGGCCACGTATGTTTATTTCAGTGAAGGGAACATATTGGCTGTGTTATTCAGCTGCATGTTTTCTATAATACTCAGGGTTTCCGAACCCAGAACAAGAAGCAACATACCTGCAATGTACTGCAAACAAGAGAGATAATATAGCTTTTAAAAGCATCTCCAAAATTCTTTAAATATAAAATACTCTCTATTTTAGGAGTCGATGCTTAAAAATTAGCTCCAAGAGACTCTATTTTAACTTTTTAAAGTTAAGAACGCGTCTAACTCTTCAAATTTAGAGAGTTAAAATACTCTCTATTCTTCATGTACAATGATTACATTTAATACATTACATATTGCAATACTC